AAGTACAGCAAAAAGAGCAGTGCATATTTTACTCTGACTTCATGGTCTCTTTTGAGGGCCAGTCAGAGATAGTGAAATGGCCAGATGTGGCCCCCAGCCCGTACTTTGCCATGGGGTGGTAGATAACATATAGTACATACTGTATATACGCATTACTAATTGATAATTGTAATTCCGTGGCTTAGAAGAACTGCCTCCCAGAATAAAAACAATCACAATCGCTCTTGGAATCTTTATGGGCGCTCGCTCCTTCGCAACCACCTAGCTCCGCCCCTGGCCATTACGGTGACAAACGCTATATTTGCTTTTGACCCGGATATAGATGATTTGGGGTGAGCAATGGCTGATTGACAAAACCAACCGTCAAAGCATGCACATTTCAGCGAGGCTCAAATAATAGGGTGTAAAGTACCCATAAGTGTTACTTTCTTAACTTATTCAAAGCCTTTGACGTCATAATAGGGTGTAAAGTACCCATAAGTGTTACTTTCTGAACTTATTCAAAGCCTTTGACGTCAAAAGGCGTCAATTAACGCATAGTCCCCGCCTCCCCATGATGTCTAAAGGCGTCAATCATGTTTTTTCATGGGGTGCAAGAGAGTCTGATGCAACTTCTCACTGAAGGAGCAGGCTTGACTGCAATGTTAAATAGTAAAAAAAAAAAAAGGCCAGCAGGTGGCAGTGGTGCAAAAGACCACCACTGTTCAATTTGCACTTTCGTTCATAGTTCAATAGTTTTGTGCAAATAAATTATTTTGTTATAAAAATATTTTTTGTAATGTTTTATAGGCGGAACACATTATTGAGGTATTTGAGCTGTCACAAAAGCAAAAAATCGTGTCAAACTTGAAGTCGATGCTTGAAATGCATGCTTTTACAAAAAGCTAATATTCTCTGGATTTCTGAAGAAAATTCGGCCTTTTCCATAAAACTTAGCAATTTTCTAATGCTGAGTGCCAACGAACGGGGAAAGATAGAAACAAACTCTTTCTGCTGAAAGAAGAGGGTCTCACCTTTCTTCTGACGGGTCGCATGTTTATATAGCCGTAGAGCAGAAAATTCTGCGGGCCTTGCAAATCAGTCAAAATTCAGTAAAATGTGAGGGATTGAGGGGCTTGCTCCAGTGAAAAAGGGTGGTATTCAATGAGTTTATGTGGTATTCTGACAAACTCATGTAATTAAGACACCTGGATTTTAAATTGTGGGCAAAAAAGTGCTTAATATTTAATTTAAATAAATACCGTATTTTCCACACTATAAGGCGCACCTAAAAGTATTCAATTTTCTGAAAAGCCGACAGTGCGCCGTATAATCCGATGCGCCATATATGTGGATCAATATTCTGATTTCTTGGACGTAATATTTTCAATGTTCTGGAAAGCGCTTTGAAGCTGTATTGTATTGTATTGTATTTTCTTGAGTGTAGCTCCATCTAGTGGCTGAATAATGCACCCACAGCCAGGGCTGTATAGAAATAAAGCTGTATTGTATTGTATTCCCTTTAGCGTAGCTCCATCTGGTGGATGCATAACACAACCCCAGCCATTAGTGTAGCTTTTATTCTATAATGAATGCAGTGCGCCCAAAACAGTCATACCTCGGTTTTCGACCATAAGCCATTCCAGAAGTCTGTTCGAAAACCGAATTGTTCGAAAACCGAAACCACGCTCGTTTTAAAAAAAAAAATCTTGATTGAACACGTCTGCTCACAATGGAACGCTACACGAGGAAGCGTCACTTCCTCCTGTAAGGAAGGCGAGAGGAGTCAAGTGGCGCATTGAAGTGTACTCAGTTTGGTTAAGAACCGATTTTCGGTCGTAATCCGAGGCATAAAAAAATCGAAATTTTTGGTCGAAAACCGATTTGGTCGAGAACAGAGACGTTCGAAAACCGAGGTTTGACTGGATATGGAAACAGTTTTAAAATAGGCTATTCATTGAAGGTGTGCCTGATACTCCGAAGCTCCTTATAGTGCAGAAAATACAGTCTTTAGAATAGCCAAAAGAGTCAGATAATCCCTGAAAGAATTACTGGAAAATATGTTCCGTAAAAGAACCAAGTACTAAATTGAACTTGGACTTCTACCTCAATCATCTTTGATCCTTGAAAATAAGTTCTTCAAAAACATTCAAACTAATATATTCTTCAAACTATAACAAAAACCAATAGAACACCTTTGTTTGGCTCACACAAATTAGCAGAGAATTTACAACATGATTTAAAAAAAGAGTACACACATGTTTTGTGTGTGTGTGTGTGTGTGTGTGTGTGTGTGTGTGTGTGTGTGTGTGTGTTTA